CGTCTGTTGAGAGGTTTGTGATATTTAAACGGATACTTGGACAACGTATAGAATCTAAAGAGAATAATCGAGCAAACATTTCTTATGGTTTGTGAACTAAAAAGAAATCCGCAACAAAACATAGCATCTATTTAGGATGGTCTGAGCTTTTTTTGTAATTTATGTGTTAGGCACTATTTTAGATAACTGTCCTCTATCACAAAACGAAACGCGTCTACGCCCCGAAATCGAACCCTGTTGGTCTCTGTCGTCCTTAAATAGTATCTACTGATAGAAAAATTGTATGACGATGCGTGGTTAAAGCATAAACTTTTGAATTGATGACAATATTGTTCATGACAGGAAGTGTATGAGTCGAATGCTATTTCAGGACAGCATTCCGCAGGCAACTATGGGACGTCCAAGCTAGAACAATCAACAGTTGGAATGAACGGTGCGATCGAAGCTGCTCGTGTCTGGCGACCAAAAAAGATGGATGGGCGCCACTGTTCAGAGAAAAAGGGCAGCATTCGCTTAGGAGGGCTAGGTTCCGAGGCGACATGTACTACAATGATGGTGCATACGAAGTCATGGTTGGATGCGATTAGACAAAGCGCGCGATTATTTACTACTGCGCATATTCAAGAGGCGGCTAGGTACAGGCGAAGTTAAGGAACACCAGCAAATAGAGCATCAAACTGGATATTCGTGACGATCATATATATATATAGTCAGTAAAAACGATAAGGATCACATGATTGAGTCATAATAAGTTGGCTGTGGGCATGTAAAAGCAGCGGCAACTGACGAAGAAGAATCGGTTATCAGGCGATGCTCAAAAAATGCTCAAACCCGAACCGACAGGGACATCGTTTGAAGAGGTCGGGGGTGAACTTCTGTAGGAGGAGACAGCAGAAGAAAGATAAGGTGGAAGATACTTAGGGATACTAAAGTGCCGAATTTAGGCTTATAATCACCGATAGCTGCCAGTTAAGGCCTTGCGTAAATACCGTGACAGACAGACGTAAGCACGCGTGGAAGTCACCAACTTAGAATAACCATGTAGTGCCACCACGGTATTAAGCAGTGATTTGACCATTAAAAGCCGCGGAAGCAGCGTCACGTAAAGCTCAGAACGCGTATGCGAAAGAAATCACAAGGCGCCCCATGAGATCATCAGAAAGAACAGGACCGTGTGAAATAAAAGCGAGAGTGAAAATAAGGAACCACTTGATGTCCCAGGTAATCGCCGAAAGGAAGCGGGTTCCTTAAAGTGAAAACATCAGTACTCAAAGGAAATATTGAGAATCACAAAAATACTGCTATCGCCCGCCGTAATCACGGCAGCGTATCGCTGAATAATGGATTTAGCTCGTTGCAAGCCATACTGGCCATAGAACACATTTAAGATACACTGTGGAACCAACAAACTTATTTTGCTAGCTTCTGCCACTAAATGAAATTAACCTCTAAGACTTCTTAAGAGGTTTGATGAGCCGTTTAAATCTCTGCAAAAACTCCTCAGGGGTCATAAATGAGTATTTACTTTATTCGAAATCAACCTTATTAAGACTACATAGATGTCAGACATTTTGAATCAGGTCTATGGCAAGAATTTACTTTAACGTTACAATTATCCTTTAAGAGTGCAGGTACAAACCTAGAGAACTTTCTCACGTCTCTAAAAAAGTAAGCTTGTACGTTCTTGTTTTTTGCTGAGGCGATATTGCAAGCTTTTAGGGATACGAACGGCTCAGAGATTATTATTATTCAGGTATAATTTAATTCGCTTCACTGATGAATGTGTTTCCAAGACTCTTCTTGAGAAGGTTTTGATGAAATATCCCGAGTACGACATCTCAATGACTATGAGGAAAACTATTAAAGAAGTCTATTACGATTGCAGCAAACAAACCGCAGTTATCTACAGATCGTGGCAATTTGGATTTTTCACATCCAGTCTCTCGAGGGGTCGTCAAAACAACATAACGTGACCCCAAATGCCACCGGCCTAAAATAGATCTTTAATTCATATTTGACGCAAAGATGATGGCTTGCACAATTTGCCGCACCAGCTGTTCTCCAGAAAGATGCTTTATCATCTCGCAAAGTAAGAATTAAATATCAGGGCCAGCTTTCAAAGGAACAATTTCGCCGGCAAATATATATATCTAATACAAATATACATATATATCAAAAACAATTTTGCGACGGAATTTTGCAAAGACTGGCGACTTTTAGTTGCAGAAACTACACTTTTTTTTCGTGATATATAGAACAATTTATTAAATGTTGAGAGAATCCTTGACAGATAGTTACACTTTCTTCAAAACATCCTGGAAATTATAATTTCAGCTATGCTTCTGTTTTTTCGTTGAAATGCTTCCATTAGCTCTTATCAGAAAATCTTATTAATTTCACAATACACTTATTACGTGTCCAGTGGAAGCAAATATGGATTACGTTTTTGTTTGAGCCATTTGAAATTCCTTTTTAGTTTAGTGGCAATTCACGATCCGTCGTCGCTAGCTAGGTAACGGTGTTACGTATCCCCGTGAGGTTAGAAGCCTTACAAGAAAAGAAATCATATGGTGAAGCCTCCGAAACACATGATTACAAGCGCTTGTAAAATCGAAAATCGTTGCGGTAAGGAAGGATCACATGAGTATGACTAAAAAAGACGGCATATGACGGCACGGAAAATTGTTGAAGAAAACCGGATTATACAATGTGAGAACTCCAAAGTCCAGTGAAAGTACCACATAGAAATCGAACCACACAAGTTATGAAAGTTAGTGAAACAAGTGAATCACACAATGAGGTCTAGCAGAGATCATCAGAGGAAACTGAACCACGCGCAGTAAAGGCGCCAGACTACTCGGGAACTAGTGATTCAAAGTGCGATATATTTGGGATCGGATATGTGGCATAGAAGGACCAACCGACAACGGGGATTATCGCGTAAGACCACTTCCGAGAATCAGTGAAAGAATACTGACAAAAACCGTATGAAAATTCCAAAGTCGATCAAAACCTTGAGACACGATGAAAGGAAATCGATGAAGGACGTCAGAGTCGAAGACTGGCGAAAACTGTCAAAGACTGACGAAAGCTCATTGAAGAAAGACCTGGTTAGTTCGAAAACAAAAAGGGAAAACATGGCGGTCGAGAAGATACTACTTAAGTGGAGAATGGAATATCACTACTCAGGAATAGGAATTCGACTTGGATTTAGCTATAACACAGCCTTTAAGGCAGAAGTCTTTAGGTGGTTGGTTGTAAGTCTGACCAATAATGAGTCTTTCATAAATTGCAACCGAAGAAAATATAGATGAAGACGAGCATTCGTTTTGTACAATTTGAGCCACATCTAAAGGACACATGTTTACTTGACAGTGCCAGACAACTACAAAATACTTCTTTTTGCTATTGTTTGTGTCCCAAGCTTTTAATCAAAAGACGCCCTCTCTCGAGCCTCTGTAGCAATCGCTAAGGCTTTGTCAAGCGAAAATATTTACTTTAATCTTTATATGTATTCGATTTAAAATAGTGCTGTCGGTCAATACAAGAAAATCTGTGCTTTGTTTTTTGCACTGGATCGTATGTATGACATAAAACAACAGATGGCTATTTATCTTGCTGTCTCTATTTTTTGTATATATTCTTAAAAGTGTATCTAAGTAACCAGTTTGTCAGAGCTACTACACAAATTAATAATTAAATATTTTTTGGTATAGTTCTTCAGCCCCTCTTAGCTTCATGGGAGACAATTGTACGTAAAAAGCATTTACATTGCTGAATACTGGTATCGTTTGTGGTAGTGTTTCGCAACATCCCTGCACTTTCCTTTACCCACAACGATTGCCTAACCTGAGGTCACAAATTTCCGCAAAGCTAGCTCATTTGACGCATTGCTTCAATAAAAGTTGAGGAAGTGCATATGCTGTGGATATAGTGATGTACTGGCGTTATTGTTGAATTGTTGTGCGATGCGTTACTACTGGCGAAAACGAGGACGTATAAAACGCTGCTCAGCAATACAGCAGGCATAGATTGTAAGTTTCCAAGTAACGGGAGAATAAAAGGAGTGCGAGAAAATCTGATTTCAAAGGCTCTGATACTTCAAAAATAACATCCCTGAACTACAATGCTTGCTTGAGGATATGGTGGAGGCACACGTGTTTCGGCGACACTAAATGCCAAGTTGGTATAATCTGCTATAGAATAATGACAACTAAACAGAAGGAAGTAATAGATATAAATTTGTTAACAAACAAAACAAAAACATACCTTCGAAGAAGTAGAGGAGTAGGCGGAAGGAAAAAGAAAATAACGGCTTATATTTCCAAGTTCACAAAAAAGCAAGAGCCCAAAATGGATCGCTGACACGGATGTTTTCGACGAAGTGCTTACTGTTGTTATATTTGCTCTTCCAGTTAATGTCCCATTGCAGATATTCTAATCGGATCCACAAGTTAGAATCAAACACAAAACGACTGTGTTCAGTACGCTTGCTATCTCATAACGCTTTATAGCAGACATATAGGTGGATATAAGCTTTCATTAACTGTTCTTCTACAGCGTACATTAAAATCTTGGTGGTCTAGTTTTTGACATTCACAATGCTAGCACAATGTTATACTCCTGTTAAAGATTAAAAGATCGCTGGTTATAGTTTCGACTTACCCAGGAAAAACTTGATTTTTTAGCTAAAGAGTCATATAATTTTACCCAAATAACTATCACACCTTACGCTTGCAAAGAAAAAAACAACTATAAACCACTTCATCGATATACTCTCTCGCAAAATGGACTCTTCCGAAGATCACCTCTCTATAAATAGTCATGTCACCCATTAAAAATTACCCGCACTGCATGATAACAACCTAATCATCTTATTGGATCATTAGCTTTTCATATCACTGACACCAAAAGTTGATTGCACATGCAGGATCTACTGCGTGAAGGTTAAAATGTATGGGTAGCATCTCTCACCTATATCCCGTTTATGTTCGTTTCAGGATTAATATTTAGCTCGTTCTTGGTCTACCTCGCTGAGAAAGACGTGAACAAAATAAAGTTTGGCAATTTCGCGGACGCTCTCTGGTGGGGTGTGATTACACTTTGTACAGTAGGTTACGGAGATACTGTGCCCATCACGTGGCCTGGAAAGCTGATAGCATCTTGCTGTGCGCTTATGGGCATATCGTTTTTCGCTCTCCCTGCCGGAATATTAGGTAAGTATGGGAGATAATCAGAAAAAAAAATGCAAAGCAAGCAATTTTTGAAGAAATATATACAATTTTACGCATCTCCATTGAGCCTAACGACAAAACTAGCTATGCGTATTCCAACTAGATTTATTTCATGGATTAGTATAAGATAATCTATGCTCTAAAGGTACCGACGGTAATTCAGCTTGTGATATCCCCTTGAGTGCTCAATTCTAGTCCTGCATAATAACTTGGAGAAATTGATTGAATTCTGACTTGAAAAACGGTTTTTCATCTCCTTATTGAATCAGACGTGAGACAATTGCAAAAATCCTGGTGAACAGCATTCGACGCGTGACATGCTGATCCAACCTAACCAATACGCTATTTTTGGATGTGGTCATACCACTTGAGCTCTATATGACTTTATATAAGGCGTCTTAAGGATCGTTTTGCGTGGGGAAATTATTTCGCATCTTTCTGTACGGCACGTAAACGTACTTCCGTAATGCGTATAACAAGTTTGCCTACAAAGCTTTAATAACAGTTGATTGCAGCTTCGTCTTTGATCGTATAACACTGGTCCTTTCGAACTCTGCGCTGCGCTATAAATCGGTCACACTCGGCCAACTCTACTGCGCGAATTGTACTTATCTTGCGGGCACCGTATTTTCACGTCTCGCGCTTCTCTCGTACTGCGCCGTTGTCTCAATTGGGAAGCGAGTTCTTTAACAACTTTTTGTCTGAGATATTAGCATTGGTCGGACGAACGGTTCAAGCTGTTATGAACGACGCTGCTCGACTGGATTCCCTAGAGAAACTGCTGCAGACCCTAGTTTTCGATGATGCCTTTCGTGGAGAGACTCCGGGCAGTTCCGACTTAACCTGGCCGGGTATCTTCGGATATTGTCGTTCGTGAAGCGAACGCCTTTCAGAGTCCACGCTTACTTCCTAGTGGTAGATGGTAGGTTTTACGGGCGCTTCAAGCAGCCTACCCTAAAGCTGCGATTGCCGAAGCATCTCTGAGCTCGAAGATAGGTTTCTTTCTGTATACAATACAACTGCGCTTTCAACAGTGAATAACCTAGAAAAGCTAACATAAGCTTTACAAAAGCTTGAGACTATTTACGGTTTGCAAGAGCCGAACATGGCCCCTACGGTACTGACAGATCTTCTAACTTGCGGTAGACACACTTATTATTAACGGCGATGAGCGATAATTCGCCACTTGATGTGCTGTTGTCGCAGAAATGAGAGCCCCGTATCCGCAAAGGTTCCCGGTTTGGGCACGCTCCAAATATCTACATCGCGATTAGACGGTGCTGAGACAACAAGAGGCTCGAATTCTGCTCGACATTGAAGCAGCATACGCAAACTGGTTGGTTCAGTAACCCTTCCTTGCAACCTCACGGGATGGGTAGCCCGCTCTTGATGCCCGACGCTTATCAAGCCAAATGTGAAACTTCTTAACGTGTCGAGTCTCTCCGATTGGTGGTTTCGGATAAAACAAAGTTATTCCGCCATGCTCGTTCATATCTCGGCGTTGAAAAAAAATTACTACCAAATAACAACAATCGTAAACAATTAACGGAAATCAAGGTACTATTATTATTAAGGTTAATAACTTTTAATATAGTTGCCATGTCGTTTCAGAGGTATATTGGACAATATTTAAATAAGCACAGCAAGATTCGCTTAGGATAGAGTGCTAATGCTACACTTAAAAATGAGTAATTCCAGGGACTTATTCAATAAGAGTTGTACGTGCCAAATATGAAAAATTCATTATACCTGGGCTGTTCAACGCTCTCTCGTCGATCCATTCTTTTGGTTACCTACCGTCAACACCGAGGTTCTACGCTCTTTTCGTCCCCCAGTAAACAGCTTTTACCGCATTGCTTACGGTTTCATCCGTCCCCTAAGCTTGCCACTAAACTGCTATACGCAAATTATGACTTCATATTTGGTTAGGCAACATTGGCTCTGCTGAGCTGTGCGCAAACACCTTATTCCAGTTCCAATACTTAAAGTAGCTTCTTAACTCGATCACTTCAGATCTGCGGATCGCATCAAAAACCTCGAAAATAAGCCGCGTTTTCCAACAAGATATATCGTGGACGATCGTTCGGTACTGAAATGTCGCCATATGCTGTACAGATACAATATCTGTGAGTAATCGATTCTTCTATCTATTCTATGGCGTTCCCTACCTTGTCGAAAGGCAAGTCAGGGCTCTTCCTGCTGGCTCCTTTGAAAAACCTAGACACGCTGTCGAACCAAACAGCTTATCCACGGGCCCAACGATCCTCGCTATTCGCTAGCAAATTTGAGTCTCTTAGGGGTTATTTTGGGGTAGAGTAGCTTCTTGGCCACTTCCTATCTTCGCTTCCTACTGACGCGTCGAATCCATGAAATATGTAAACTATTGCTTCGTCGCATATTACCAGCGACGGAAGAGCACGATATCGGCACGGATCCGTCGTCGTTCGTAAGCACGGAGCATCGATGTTGTTTCAATACATTTTTTTTACCGTCCAAGCAACAGCCTTTTGCCCTCTACCACTCTTCCTTCCTATATAACCCGTAATTTTAAAAGCGATTTGGCGTAGAGATGAAGGCGGGCTCTCCAGTGATCAGCTTTGACGCCCTCTAGCGGCTGCCACGAACGGTTCAGGATCTCCGGTTCCAAATAGTGGACTTCGCAAAAGTGATCAGATGCAAGGACGGTAATTATCAGAGCTGCACTAGTCACGCTGCTGAGTGGTCAGAGACCCAATGTCAGTTGAGCAGTTTTCAAAGAAGAGCAGCAGTATAACGGTGCGGTGCATTCCGGAAAGTCTAGTTACTTTGTTAACATCGAGCTTGACTATGCACTGAGCTAAGCAAGCAATACATTTATATACGGCCCAGCTTTTGCCCAATTCTTCGTCTTGAATTTGCATTGAAGATCGATTGCATTTGCTTTACGAATAAACGCGTTGCGCGAAGATCCTCATACTTCGATAAGCCTACGCTTCTATTGCAAGCAACACAGTCGTTTGTCAAAATCCCCGTATAAGACGTCAAATGACATTTCGCAATCACACAAATGGTGAGGACTTTTAACAAATTCTCTTATTATCAAATATACGGAATGAGACTGTCCACTAAGAAACTTGGTTCGATTGACGCAATATTATATTTCGATGCCCTGCGTTTTCACGTTTTTGATATTGATCGGGGAATACTAAACTAAGCATATTTACTGCACACACGAATAGATCGTATTTCTTATACATGTACGTAATTTTTTTCTTATTGCGTTGCGGCCATTTCTTAGGCCAATTCCAATCTACGAGTGTTGCCTAGTTCGCTAACCCTGACGACTCGGCCCAAGACGTTATCATAATAAGTACATGAAGCGTTTCTTAATCAGCTGTTAAAAAGTGTTCTTACATTGTATAGTAGGATAGTTTTATATGACTTTATATGATTCACTGTGTACTATGGAAGGCAGCTGAGCATTAGTGTCAAGCTTCAGAGGAACTGTTTCTACTGCGTGGGCCAACTCGATCGAGATATCACAACTTCTACCGTCTCGTAAAATACATGACAGCCTGTGGCGATGCTCCCAGCGATTTGTTTAAGATTAAAGGGAAGCTCTTTTGATCACTTTGCAGTCAACTGTCTTTCCTGTGTGCGCGACTGACAAAATGTTTTTCCTTCCTCCCTCTAGGTTCCGGGTTCGCCCTGAAAGTTCAGCAACAGCAACGGCAGAAACACATGATTCGTCGGCGAGTCCCCGCAGCTACTCTAATTCAATGTCTATGGAGGTGTTATGCAGCCGATGAGAACTCCATGTCCGTAGCCACATGGAAGATCCACCAGGTCCCCCTGCCCAGCCCACCTACGTGAGTGACTCATGCCGTAGTTATAACTATTCAGCGTTCATGTGGAAAAGCATGTCACCAGAAACTCTCGTGTAAAAGCTCGTAAGCACTATGCTATGAACAATCGTTTCACCATATAAATGTATGCGCTACTATCTAAAATGATCCGTAATAATAAAGAAGAAATGGCTCAATTGGCAGTGGCTTTAGAGTAGGTAAACTGCTACCATTAATATGTTCGCATTGTGAACGTTTCTGAAAAAACTGCACGATGCATAACCTGTGGCACGGAATACTGAATCACTCAGTGACTGATTCATATTAACAGTTAAGACCTACGGAGCAAATATAAAATGGCCATTATCAGCTGTTAGCAATTTTCTCGGTTTGCTCTTTCGATTTTCTAAATCGATAACTTTTAGTTTTTTTTTAACTCGAGCTTAATTCCCTAAAGTGAGATGAAATGATTGGATGCATGAATTGAATGAGGTATTTTTCGAACCACCTAGCAAGCATCATGATATCCACTTTGTAATAATAAAAATTGTTGTAAGATCTGAATATACATTTTCATATCAGTTCTTTGGTTCTTCTTTCATTTTTTCTATAGCTATGTCTTGTCTCTTTGTGCGCTTTTTATGCGCAAAAATATTCTTCTCGCCGCTTAGCGCCGTTGTATAAATAAGGACGACGGAACCTAGGTCCCTTTCCGATTCGTTCCCTTTACAAATGATCCCTACTGCTTATATCAGCATAATAATCATTGGCGTCACCATCTGTGATCATACCATACGTCTTATATGTGTATACAAAACCGCTGCAAAGGATATAGTACATCGAAACAACATTCTTGTTGGAGATGTATGTAGTTTACTTGGTTGCCTATGATAGCATGTATCTATCTACCTTTAGATAGTGCACCTTCTGCAGACAAGAATAATGGTAGTAAGAATATTCGTTGGTGGCTCGTTAGATACCCAGATATGATTACTTTTAATCATCTACGATATTATGACCATCATCAGTACTCTATTACGATGACTTGAGACAATAATGAAGTCTTATATTTATTCCCCGCCGCAACATGCCGAATACTCAGCTAGTTGAAGGACACCGCGTCATCGCCCAACCTTCTAGCCTTCTATTTATGTAACTATATTGTTAATCACACGAAAACTGTATCGGATGTTCTTACATCCTTAAAATGTATTAGGAAAATCTTATCGACACTTTCTCTGTAGTACCAAAAAGTAATTGGTAAAAAATAATCGACAGTCTAATGAATTAAGCTTAAACTTATCAAATTTACGAATGCCCGTAAACCAAACCTAGATGCATGAAAATCACAATCTCTAATCAAGCTTTTAAGGACTACGTAGGCTTAATTTGCTAGGTTACATTTCCAGTTCGTCCGAATGAATTCTGTTGAATCTCAGTTACCAAGTGATAACTATGTTGGTTTCTTTAAGAAGAAATAACGAAAAACTTGCTCTAATAATCTGTCCATACTTGCACGTTGAGCTAATGAGAAGGTACCTACTTTTCAACCACAAGTCGGTCATATCTAACCAACTAGAAACCAAAATGATGAATTGGCGAAACGTTCAATTAAAATGGCTATTCGCTTGCAGTGCGCTTGTTGGTGCCTACCATTAGTCAAGGTATCACTGCTTATACCAATGCACCGATAAGTACCTGCGTATTCTGACCGTACATCAATGTAAACCCAAATACGAGTTATTCAAGTCGGTACTGATTTATAAAGGAACGTTGGTTTGGGTGACGGTTCAAGTTAGCGAATCGACCTTGATGAACTTCTCTGGAAACTGCAGTTGATAGTTTTGTTGTAGCGAGCAATGCCTGCGCACCGTCGACTGTCCGCTCCGCTTGTATCTCATGTTCGAGACAAGACTGTAGGCGTATCGAGTAAAACATGGCCTGTACGAAGATAATTGTTAACACGTTCCTAATATTACCTGAGATCAACCAGATACGCTTAACAAGGGATTTGATTACAACAGTATAAAGGAATAGTGTTATTACCTGGCATTTTTATCCAATTTTACAAAAGCAAGCCCACGCGAAGAGGAATAAGTCCTGAAAAGGTCTTTACCTTATTCGTTTGTTCACAACGAATGGAGAACCTCACACTGAAGACACCGGATCACTGTAATCATCTGGGTGTAGACATGCAAGCGAAAATCCTCACTGTCCCTCCGAATGCTACGAAACCTTTTAGATGCTAGGCCTGATATCAACAGTAACATACCGCTGCAGATAATGATAACAATAATTATAAAACATCCGTGCAATTTCAAGCAGGGTATTCACGGTCTTGATTGCATTTCAGCGTCGTGTCATGTTGTTTTATAATAAAAAAGAAAAATTAAATGAGTAAACAGATTTATCGTCCGCAGTCAGCAAACTGAAGTAATAACACACATAGTGACACACTATGACGAGCCGTTTCCAATGGCGACATATTCACTATTATATATATAGTATTATGGGACTTGCTATACATATACGTATGTAATAATGTTTCATAATTAACTATATAAAAATACGTAGATAGGAAATTCGTACATACAGCTCGTGTATGCACATAATAAATGTTGAAGCGTCGGTAGGCTATACGCAACATACGTTATAAGTATATATATTGAAGCTGGCTGTGTAGTAACAAATTTAGTTCGTCAGCTCGTTAGTTGTTGATTGTCGTTTCGTTTTTTTACCCACAGAGAGATTATACTGTTTGTACTTAAGTAACTAGCATATAGGAAATTAAAATGATATAACATTCGTTTGACTGGGAAGTGCATCAAATATTAGATTGATCACAAAATAAAACACGTCAAAGGTATATCGTCATTCACAGTATAACATCACTACAGTCTCATCGCATATGGAGGAACCGTTATGAACTTGCAGCTTAGCAAACAGCTTCAAACCTCTTCCTAGGACTTTCGGACATAATTGCTACGAGAAATGTTTGTAGAAATTTTGCTAAATCTTGTCATAATGGTATTGGCGTGCGACGTATAGCACTAGCTTCACAGCTCTCGTAATTTGGGCGCTTTTAGGACAAGCTACAATGTGTCCCAAATTCTGCGTACAGGTACCAAGCTATCGCAAAGCTAACATATCTCGTTATTTGTATCTCTCTTCTTTCTCTCTCTTCTGTTCGTGTATTCTGTGCCATCTTCTTCTCTGTGTGTCGTTTCGTCTATATCACAACGTGTGTTTCGGGCTCACATATGCTTGCCCCTCGTGTTCGTGCTTTGATAACGAGGGGCGGATCACGACCATGATCCTCACCGAAACCACCATCACCACCGCTGCACTGTTACTCAATTCCCTAACATGCCGGGCGGACTGTGGACAACACAACCGCCTCGCGTGCATCGGCTCCCGTGCACATTTCGGCACACATTATACCGTCTTCTCACACGTCCACTGCTCCGTCCGCTCACGTTTGACCGTCATCCGTATTGACCCAATGGTTCGATCGATCGTTACTTTCCACAACGCAGATATGGTTCATTCACGCAGTCAAAGACAAGACGAGACCGGCTCGACCTGCCACCAAAGGCGGGACCGAATCTGTAAGTGATCACCGGCCCAAAGTGCGCTGCGTTAGCTCGTGGGGTCTAATAATCCAGGTCTACAACAATCGGCCGACCAAGGGCATCTGTTGCAATTGCCTTGAACTATTAGCGATTTGAGTTAGAAAAATACCTCCTTAGTATACCTTAAATACCGCCTCTGTTTCTATTTATCAGACACCTATAAAGTGAGGTAGAAGCGTTGCGATTACATTATACCCAGCTGTCTAATCCGAATCTCGATCTAAAAACCTGTGTGCATAGATTCATGCAGGATGTTTTATATAGTGAACGGCATGTGCCTCCTAACGTCGATAGTGTCAATTCGTGTTCACTTTAAAAAAAAAATTAAAATCAAGATGTCATAAATTGCTAGTATGGGTCTCCGATTATTGAACCTCCGACTAACAGCACCTCGGATTATAGGGCTTGAGGCTGCAGCAACTTAGAAAAAAAGCTTTAACCACACCAGCTGACTAAGGATAATGTGAAATCAGCCCCGTGTGAATCTTTATAGTACTTCGCTGGCTTATGAGGCCGACAATACTCATCGGCCTATTGAATTAATCCATAAAACAATTTTTACGAGGTTAAATTTGATCTTTAAGCACCCGCCGAAGTCTGCTACACGCACGAGCTATTCTCTCTCTCTCTCTCCCCCCCCCCTATATATATATATATATATTCGCCGCGTATATATTTCCCTCCGCCGCTCTTAGTGGCACGGTGCATGCAAACATTTTGAAGTCCGTCAATAGACAATGAATAAATCTATATGCAACATCATTTTCTCTTGACACACCTGGTTGCTTTGTAATTTGGATGAGACGTCTTTTTGTTATATAAACTATGTTTAGATGTCTGAAAGGACAACGCATAATCGGTTAACATCTACGTTTAGCTTATGCCATACGCTGCTTCCACGGAGCGTTCAATCACAAATCCTATACATATATTATATGAACGCTGTTTTGAGGCATGCGAGAATCCGATTTGCACTTATATAGCTGTACAATTTCCCACCTGTGCCCGAATTGTAAACATCTACGTTATAATTAAAATTGCTAATTTTTTTTTTATCCGACATGAACGTAGGCTATGCCGCAGATTGTTTATTATGTACAGTATATGCATGTAGGTTGTGAATTATTTTTCAGAACACCGCTTTGGGACTGACTGAAAGCTGTGACGTTTTTTCGGTCCTTGGTACTTTGTAGTTTAGCGTTTCAAAATTAAGAGTCCCGTTTGTCCATCAAAAATGTTAAGTTAGATAGAATAAGGACATTTTGCGCGTTAGAGTCGTTGCACTGGTCCCGCACACATTCATTGGAATTACTTTTTAAGGATGTCTAACAATCTCGATTATTATTGGCGTTGCGCTTGTACTTTTCGCGGTGGTATCTGCCCCGAGGACGGACAGATTCAAGCACAACACGTCGTTCGTGTCGCGGCTGTCGACGATCCGAAGAGGCCGCCACCATCCCCAGCACGGCTCGCACCTGCCGCACTCTCCGCTATCACGCGCCGGGCCTCACGATACGTCAGGCGAGTCCTGCGCGCCGTCCCGCCACCCACAGGCCAGCTACAGCCACGAGACCGATGCCATCTCGGACTCTGCATCCAAACGAAACTCGGACGGTAAGTAAACTTCACCTTGTCCTGTAGCTAAACGTAGCCCATGCGGCATCTGCACAGCAATAAACACACAGTCTCTCGGTCCCACTCCCCCACGCTAAGCACGCGTTGACTACAGAAACAAGCTCGTAGAGCTGCTACTGTGCTTATTCCAAACCTTTAGTGGCCCAAGGGCAAATAGATATCTCCAGTACAAGATTACGAGTGAGCTTTTCCGATTCCACAAATCCTCAACTGTTGAGTAGTTGGTGATGTAGCGACACTGCATATCGCCATCTATATTCGATTCAGCGAGAAGCTAACATCAATTTCAGGTGGACTATTGTAAACCTCCCAAACGGACGGCACGACGCCGACCAACATTGATTGGCAAAACGAGGAATAGCTATTAGACTATCGAGTTGAATCTCTTATGATTAACAGTTGTTTGCAGGATCTATTTCTTCAAAGAGAGGAAACGCGTTGCCTCTTTCGACAATCGTTTACCCTGATTGGTGTTAGAATTGTGGCTATGGCGCCATCAATGGAGTCTTTGAGCATCCCCGTAGGGCTTCATCGAACTGCAAACATTTTGCCGACGAGTAACGAGCAGGCTACTGAAGCTAGAATAGAGTCCGATTCAAAATCACTCAAACCCTCGCGTTTCTCCGTTCTGTCACACCGCAGTTTTTTTACCATCGCAAAGGAGGGTTCAGCCTTTTTGACTTCATAATAGCCCTTCGCCTTCACAACATCTCGTCGCAAGCATACTAATCCTCTTTTTTGAGGCTTAGATTGCCAGCGCTATAGCGCCAGTATAGCAAGCTGCATAAATATATTTTGTGGCTGTGAGTTATTAGCCCACTGAACTGAGCAATGACCGGTTTCTTGTGGCCATTTTCTGTGTCTTATATTTTCCGCTGTCGGCTAATAGCTTTCCTTGTTTTTTTTTCCGTACCGATTTTATATTGTGCTTCCCTTCCTCCTGAGTTAGTAAACTGTAGTTTTCCGGCCATGAACGCGAATGTGTTTATCATACGTTTAGTAAGTAAAGATTAGTGTTAATACGCCAACAGTCGCCCTAGAAATCGCCATATCGATCGATTGTGACATCGATGATTGTCTCGTCGATGTTACAGTCCTTTAACTTCTGTCCACGACATTTCTTCTGACTGGTCGTCATCGATCTCATTGAAGTTTTTCGTGCCAGCCTATCGAGCGCATGGGCAAAGTCTCGAAATATCCGACGGTTTATATCCCACACATCGTGCCCTTAAGCTTTTTAACCTTGAGCTGCCCTCATACCAGGCCCAACTTAGCTGTGGTCGGACCTCTGCCCTTGCGTAGCTTTATTCTTCTTAACTGAACTTCGGCAGAATGAGCCAACGACATGAGATGCATCGTGACTATTTTTCTCGACTGCTACTCATCCTTCGTAGTTCAAACAACCGCATTCTGCCCTTCGGCTAGTTTTCCTTCTTCAAAGTGGTCTTATTTGTCTAGGGTTTCTTTTTTAGTTTGGCTACAACAGTCAGTGGATAGTCATCACAGCTATCCGATGCGTGTCGATACCATATTTGAAATCCATCCAACTTTTGGAAACCACTTGGCACGTAGGGGATTCCTTATTTAATATCTCACTACTATGCGATTTAAATGAAAGCGTTAGGCAGTAAGCTGGTTAGCCACTGAGAGCGGTTGCAGGGTTTATCGTCCAGGTTCAGTTCAAGCTAACATAATTGTCGTGCTTATTTTACTGGCTAGCTGAGGTCCATTTGTCATCTAACGTTTCCCTATTAACCTAAATCTGTTCTAGACTGCAGCGTCGACGACGAGACGACTCCGTATGGCCTTTGTATGTTACTTCAGAAGGAGTTTGTGCACCCTCCGTTTCTAGCACTTTCTCCAGGCCTCAGGTCGTCCGCGGAAACAGGTGAAACTTTAAAACTTTGCGACTGTGAAAAGAGATTATCGTCTCGTCTTATCTCACCCTATAAGCTCTCTGATTGCGTCTTCCGTTCCACTGATCGCCTTCCTCTTGAGTCTCGCACTTCTCGGTGGTCACCCGCCAACCCGTCGTTGCCGTTTCTACGTACAAACCGGCCAGTAACCGATACGCACTAAACAGCCGACCAATCAACCACTTTGTAATTAGTCCGTATGTTTCCACGGTCTCGAATCAGGACGCACGTTCTATTTCAGTTGTTTGTTCCGATTTTATTCACTACTCGATCACGATAGATTCAAGTAAGCTCTAGCAGGTCTATGTCCAAGCAAGAAAGAGATACGCATGGACAGTGAGTTCGCATGTTCTGCGATCCCTTCGCAGGAGATCGTCAACCTTTTTCATTAATTAAAAAATTCACATATGAGTGTCTATCTTGTAAATTGGTTTCTTCAGATTAAAATAGATTAGTCGCACCTAATACTGAATACGCTGCACAATGGTTTGCTTCCAAAAGCGATTATATATATATATATATATATATATATATATATATATATATATATATATATATACTCGCGAGTCCAAGCCCAATGACAATTCATCACACAAAAGTGCACTAAACTCACAGGAGATCTTGTCCATCGAAGTCGGTTACAACTGCAAAACAAAGACGGCTTTGCGATCCAGCCTGAGTAAGCTAACTTAGCTGCTTGGCCAACTTAATTGTTCTGATAGGTAAATCACGTCGCTTCTGCAATGGAAGGACTAGATGACGCCTTCCATGATGGTTCCTTACTTAAAGTGGGCCAATTTTTTACCTGAAGAAGAAAGTAAAAAATTGAGGCGGTTCTTTTTAAGGAGGATCCAGCATGTTAAACGTCACTGGGCCGACCTTAGCGCTGCACTGCTTTATACTCCGAGATTTTGTTCACGATGACAACTAAGGGTCAAACTAGATTTGTCAAATTCATTAAATTTGAAGAGTTGACCGTTTGGTGAAAGAACGACTTGCGTGATGGTTGCTGGCGGCCAGCAGATACCACGGCAACAGGTACTCTAACACGTTCAACATCACCCAGGCGGTTACACACGGTAAGGTGTCGCTTATTTCTGCTTCAGGTAGATACTGAAAGCGACCTTACGAAATTACTTACGACCGGTGTCTCCATAGGTAGGTTCTGTTGAGACTGCTGCCATGCTATCGAACAATGCCAATGGTGCTAGGCCATCGTAAAAGAGTGCCTTGATTAAAGCTAGCTATTGGCTTCGTTGCTTGAGGGCTTACCACTTCTGGGCCTAGAAGGGGTTCGATATTTGGACCTTGCCCACTCGCGAACGACTCACCAACTACTTTCAGATGCCCTACACAGCCCAATGGCTTGTAAGCCGTGTAGTTTGGCCGCCCGCGTGTTCCGTAGTCTGAGTACTAGAAGGTCGCGGCCGACAACCCCAACAATGCAGGTCGAGGGTAAGCAACCATTATGTTACTACTACACCATCATCAAATGACTGTAACAAAAGCTATATTAAAACTAATTAATCATAATATACATGCATTATCAGTTCATCCTTATATTAAAACAAATAAACAATCAAGCCCCTTATCCGCAAACACATGGTGACCAGCTAGTTGATATATGCGCTTACCACAACGGCAGTCGCCCGCCGCTCAGTCGTCACCCTCCATATGATTACGTACTTAGTGTTCACAGCCTTTAATAGCCATTCACCATTAAGCTGGCTGGGCTTGCAACCGCTTGTTTTCATCGGCCTGACCGAGCCATCTCCTCCTCAGACTGTGTTTTGTTACTACTGCGCGTCGTAATGGCAAACTGTGACGCCTACTGATGTTCTTTGAGGAGGCGACCGCTCAGTCATCCGAATACGGAGTGATTTGATCGGTCAGCAACCCAACGCACAAAAGTTTGTTAATATTTCTGTTGTGGGCGCTATGTTTTATTGTGGTTGTTCTGACGACCCGGTGCCAACCAAAGAAGCAATCCATCCCGCGCGACCATTGCCACTGCCACCACGCTCGTCGTTGACCACCGTCCAGCCGCCTTACAATTGTTGTTCTTGATGTTACTGTTGTCAATAGTAATTCTGTCGATTAGTAGAAATATTAATCATTATAGTAACGCCTAGTGTAAGCGTTGGTGCCGCATCAAGTACACGTGTCGCTCCTTTGTTACCCCAGCTATGGTCATTAACTCATCTGTCTGTCACAGAAGCGTAGTGTTAGATAGATTACCTAACTGATTGACTTTGTCAACAGTTGAGCGGATCGTGAAAAATTAGTGGCATATAACTAACGCAACTCATAGCGTTCGTTAGCTGGTGACAGACTTGAATCGTCTACTAACCTTGTACGATTTATCTGCACGCCACCACAATCACGCAGCGGTTATATTTCAGTGCATTGCTAGCAAGCTCACGTAGTAAACCTCTAAATAAATGGTCACATACGCCTCGTTATTACTCGTTATTATTAGCTTGGTAAAGCTTTCTTTTTTTTTAATTCAGAATAGGTGCAGATTTTACGTGCTATATTTCAGAACTATCTGTTTTACTTAAAAAATGTAAGTCTGTGTTTTAGCAGCTTTACGCCCCGAATATAGCCCTGAAATATGGTCACTGTTTGGGAAACATTACCACTGCTCGCAGCTTCTAGAGCATGCGCCATGCCAAAGGATCAAACATCCATCGTATATTTTCGGCTTCCTTTCATGTTATTTCGCCTTAAAGCTAGTTACTTTCGTTGCAGAAGAAGGAAAAGTTACTTTTGTTGTTTTCGTTAAAAGCATTAGGTTCTTTTGCTAATTAAGTGTCGCCCCAGCTTGAATCAACAGCATCCTGAAACAGGTGCAAATATGTCTATGATTTAATAAACTCGTCCGGCAGTGCGCTGAAAAGTGCCTTGTTTACGTGTACATTTCGCAGGTACAACCTGTAATATTGAGATAAAATCATACGATAGAAAGTACGGTAAAGCGCAAAACGAGTCCGTAGGACGTCTACATACAATGCCCAAAGTAAAGTAGTGTCGAAACGCACGATTACTGTTTATCACAACAGCCATTTATAGAACTTCCTCTCAGGCTCATGTTGGAACAGTGTGGAATGTTGTCGAATTCTATATATTCATCTTGACATTCACTTTCGAATTGAAACCTTTCAGTTTTCGCTACCTTTGGCACCGGGCTTCAGCCAATCATTGACTTTTTAACATTTACAATTAGACCTTCGAATGGCGACCAGCGTACCCATGTGTATCAAATCTTCTAATCGAACCGGGAAATACTGTATCATGTCGTTGTAGCGAGCTCACTTCACCTACTACGATTACATGATAGAAGCAGCTTAGTTGTGAAACGATGATCTATACTGCTGCGGTGACACGTTCTGTAAAAGCGCTACCAAGTAGAGTCCACCTACTTACCGACCAGCGGCTGTAGTTATATATTATAATGTGACATAGTAAACAGGGATAGAAAGATCAATTAGTTCGATATGTGTTCTGCTTTGTGTAGTCAGCCGCCTCTTGTGGGAATTGCTTTTCAGAGGGCGAAACCTCGCCCCCCAGTATCGACATTGTTATTGGTAAGAACTAAAAATATATATATATATATATATATATATATATAGCCCGTCATTTGATGTCAACATGACCAACCACGATTGATCACGATGACAATTTCCGTCATAGCTATGTCTCTCGTGGTTGGTTGCCATTTGGAAAAGAACCATTACTACTATCTTTACTACAAATACGAGAATAACCCATTTCCAATGTCATGCTTAATGATATATTATCATTCGTCAAATGTGATCTTTAAATTGGTTTCACATATGTTGAAACGTCAGTGCGCTAAACAGTGAGTTTCAGAAACTCATTCGCTTTACATACAAATATAGTCAATAACAACTTGGTGGCGACGATCTAAGCTTGCATTAATGATAGCTTTGTCCATATGGCTAATAGCCTTACGGCACATTGAAGGCACCGAAACAACGGCAGTGTCCTGAGGCAAAGAGTGAAGTGAACTTTGCTTGGCGGTATCGTATCCTCTTAAATTTGATGCTAAATATGAAGGTCTATGCGTTGTATCTCGTTCGTTTCTTACGAATTTACGTTGCCAAATGAATTCGGCTCTGCTAATCTTTTTACGGCAATGGTACTAATGAACTAAATATTGGTTATTAATAACTTGGCGCGCACACTAAGTAAGAACACAGGAGTACTGACAACTGATAGAAGTAGATGGCCTTTGCTTTAGATAGTATTTTTCTCTCTAAATCGACGTGAAGTTGAGTAGTTCACTACCGTGCTTTGGGCTTTGAGAACATTCTTCATCATCAGTAGTGTGATGTGTGTTAGAAATCAAGGCACACGTAGCAACTCAATAGCCTTTTAACCAATTAAAAAATTAAGCTAACCTGTAGAAATTCTGATTGCTGTTTCTATGTGTATCAAGTCAATGCTGGCTTCTCGCTTGATATGCACGCTTAAACCCCTTGTTAGATCTCTTAACCTCACGGTGGCCTCATTCGTTTTTAAATGTAAGGGTCTAATGAGACCCCACATAAAGCCTCGTTGGACCTTTAAACTATGTTAAGGTCTAGAATCTACGTCCGTTATGTACAATTGGCACAACCTCACTAGTTCGCTAGCAGCACCGCTTTCAACACACTGCTGGCTCGGGTTGCCAACTACTTGCCATTCACGTCAAATTGGAGCTTCTTTAATTTTCCTCAGTACACGGCAGGCTACGTAGAGTAATTGACCGTGGAAGCGTTAGAACAACGAACGTTAATCGCATATATTTCAAGGGACAGCGCAGGAGGTCGATGCTTTGATCCTTCCGTTCTTAATTATAAAGAGATGGGGGTACAATCTTAAGTTAGCTTGAGATCAGCAGCGACGACAAATCTGTAACAAATCAAAGAGATTTCATGTCAGACGCAGGGTGGAACTATTGCCTGGCTAGTATTTTGCATCAGCTACTAACGTGCATCCTGTTGCAGACGAGGAAGCAGAGGAAACCCAGCCCAAGTTGACCGTACTCACGAAGCAGCACAAAAACGCAATACGAGCGCTGAGGAAGATCAAGTACTTTGTCTCAAGAAGGAAGTTCAAGGAGGCATTGAAGCCTTATGACGTAAAGGACGTCATCGAACAGTATTCGGCAGGTAAGTGCTTCGTCTTACCGATTCGAATACGAATATATATATATGAGGAGTTAAAAGAAAGATTTTCTTATTGTTAGTACTTGCGAGTTACAAGTTACGATCGTTTAAACGATGGTATCCCACGTATTTACCTGCGTTAAAATTAATTTAGGTGGTAGTTTTGTTATCAGTCCAGTATGCTTGCTGCGTAGTTCTAGTCTGGATTATTCAAAATGGCTTAATGAATCGACATTAGATCCGTGGCAATGAGGATCGGTTATATGCACAATGCACTCATAAGGAAGCAGAAAAGCTAGTTATTTTTTATGACAGCCTTGCGTATCGTAGAACTAGAATATTTTTTTAAAAAATATAGAACTCAAATTGTGTTTTGTACATTGGGTTAGATTGCATTATTACTTTGGTGGCTACGTTGGTCTCGACGAAGTGAAGTTCTATTAATCATTGCGCTTAGCGCACATAGGGAAAAAGGATGCCCTTGATGATTATCAATGTGTCTCAGAGGACAATTCAGGCAGCACTACGAGGCGCTGAACAGTTTTAAGGATACCCTTTGCGTAGATCTTTCATCCTTTATTTCACTTGTGCATATCAAAGAAGAAGAGGCGTTTTTTTTAAAATAAAAAGAATTATCTCACATTACCGTTATAGAAGCTTTGTTCTACTCAAAATTTACTTACCATTGTGAAGTGTAGTGGCTGCACGTGAAAAAACGTGTTTACGTTACTGACGTTATGCTGAAATATAAATTGCAATGCACAAAAAAAATGAATACATATATTATATATAACAGAATAGACAATGTATAGTAGATAATTAATGTAGTGATACAACGAAGTGTGCTTATTTCGAAAGATAATTTTGGCAATGAAAATTGAACCTAATTTATAATATACTGATTATTCACGTATTTAAGGAATATAAAAGTATAAATGCTTGCGTATAGAAATGTCTACGCAAATATTCAGCAAATGGCTGAATGAAGTAGTACAAGTGTATGAATTTCGACGGGATAGAAAAAAGTTGAAGCATACAAGCGTCATATTATATACGGTTATATACAATATGACGGTTTAAGGATACATCTCCCAAGTCCAATGCGTATTTAAATAATTTCAACAGTACGATATTACAAGAAATTATCTAGAAACTTCAGAGAATATGCTGAAAGACGAATAGCTTTAAAAAAATTCAACGGTTATGTGCTTCAACGAGAACAAGATCGAAAAAATACGATTAAAACTAAGGAAAACAGCTTAAGCACTAGAAGATTATTGAACTCCGAGAAAACACGGAATTTAGGAGCTGTATTTCTGCATAGGCGTATTGGATGCCAGTATGAATCCCAAAGTTATATTTTTCGCAATATATTGACATACCAGTAACAAACTACAAATTTCGAATAGATACGCTGATTACACAAATGATAACTTATCAAATACGCCAAATAAAAGCACTTAAACCCATTGATATATATATAATCAGATTTTTTACAAGCTAAAAATATATGAAAGAAGCACCGTACGCATTGTATGTCAGATGGTACAAATAACAACATCAAAATTTCCGATCATTAAAAGAACGAGGTTTCGAATATTTTTACACTCTCAAGACTCATACAGTTGCTATGTGTAGACAAAGAAAAAAAAGATGACAATATTGACGCACTTAATGAATTATAATTGGAAGGTAGTTGAAAAGCTGCCTCGAAAAGATCGAAAAAAAAACAACTTACTTAATACCGAAAGTTCGACAAATAATCTCTAAATACTTGACACTGTATAATAAGAAAACGAGATGTGAAGACAGAAATATATATTTGAATTATAATATTTACCGTGCTCATAAATAGTGCAAAAAAAAATGCGACAAATAAGCGAATTCACGAATCTACAAATGAAATGTTAGTGGCAAAGCTATAACTGCACCCAGTCTTGTTAAGGTTAAAGAAAAACTGTCAGAAATACACCCCGTACCGATAAAATCCGTAATGTTCGAAGGTGTCAAGTATGGATACATATATAATAAGCAAAGTGCAATAGATAATAGCGATAACCCTTTGTTCAAAAATGAACGAGTCCGCTACTACAAATTGATAAACATTTATTTAACCGTCCCAATTCAAGTTGTTTTTTAAACTAGACACCGCCAAATACAATACACTTACGGCATCATTTTTTTGCGGGCACCAAAATACTTTCCAAGTTCGATCATTGGGATAGACCTCAAGTTGGCCAGCGATTTTTAGAGATTTTGTTCTATTTTTTTTTATTTTTAGACTTCTATTTAGTTTTGAAAATAGAAAGAAGTCGCAAGAACAGATCCGATAAATGCGGCGGGTGGGGGCACATGTCTGGATTTTCCGCAAAAACTGCTGTACGAGTATGCGCATTCCTGTGATAAAGGACCCACAACCTGGTCTGACAAATACTTGGTACAGCCCTTTAGAAACCGTGGAGCCAGATGTCTTGAGCTCATGATAAACACCCCCCCCCCCCACGGTCGAGGAAAACCACGAGGAGCATTCTGTCTTTGAACTTGAATCGTGAAACTTTTTTTCGGGGTGGTTTGTTTTTAAAGCGGTACTCAGAAGGTAACGTCTCGCCCTCCTTATCGTCGCCATACGCCTATGCCTGGTCATCCATAATGACACATTCAAGGGAACTTTTTCTTACCTTTTCTTAACGTAGTAGAAAGTTTTCCTGGCAATTTTTCACAAGTGTTCATCTGCTGGACATTTTGTCTGTTTTGACGCAAACTTCGTCCTAAGCCTTTTGGCGCCTAAACGACCGGTCAAAATGGCCTGACAAAAGCTGAGATTTTTTTTTCTCGTTATCGCATGGTTATTTCGTAGTTAGCAAAGAGAAGCTGCTATGCTCTTTTTGTATGCTTGCCCATAATTGATGTAAAAGGCCTTCCAGAACGAAGATCGTCTTTAATGGGCTTTTGTTCATCTTTATTCATACGCTCTAGCTGCCTGTTAAATAAACAGTTTTACTTAGCGTCGGATTTCCTCAAGCATTATATAATATCAGCAGAATGGTTGTGCAGCTGATTTTTTTTGTCAATTTTTTTTCTGTTTTTTCCATTTGTTCCTCCGTTTGGTAAAAAATCGCAGAACGCCCAAGATATAGACTTACTTAATCTTACCAGAAAACCCGATATCAACATCAGATTGTTACGAAGTCGCACTTATTTGTAACAGAAGCCCTGTTTTTTTCCAACAATAGAAGTATAACGAATCATTATTCGTAGCGCGAACATTCGAACGACTCATTCATTTTCGAATGAGTCGTCTGAGTTTTCAAATGAAGTATATTCAACCAAATGAAAAGCATTGCAGAGACAAACTGATTTTAAAATATAGAAACAATATATGAACTGAATATGTGGACTGACTGGTGCCTACTGCGGGAAATTGTAAACTTTTTGAACTTTATTTAATTTTTAACCAACTGGCCTCTATGATATTTTGCCATTTAAATGACAATTAACTCCATTGTTATACTAATCGGGAATACCGGAGTGTATGAATTCTCCTAAAACAAGCTTGACATCGTATTAAGGTAAACCTATCAAAAATTTACGATTTTTTAAAAAACATTTTTGTTATAATGATTTTTCTTGCGTGAGGTAGAGCGGTTTCATGGAATAGTAGCTCAGCTCTGTTCCAGAGTCTTCGCTGGTTAATGCGTAATCTGGTCATCATTTACCTCAATCGTTCGGAATAGCCGTAATCGATGAACTAGGCTACGTGAAACTATAATGGGCAACGTCTGCACTGAACCATTAAATAGACACAAGCTATTTCAGCTTTACGTTTGCTTCAGGATGATGTTTCGTTGGCGTTATTGTCTTTCGCTCATGATCTTCCAGAAGATTTACCGGCAAGTTCAAAACTTCCCTCTTGGATCTTCTTAAACTAACGAGTTATGGTACTTTTAGCGGCAAACTGTTCACCGAATACAAAATTCTGCGCGACAAAAACTATAGTATATCATTAGAATTGGTCCAGTTCTAATGGGAGCTTAGGATGTGAATGCGACTTCTGTTTTTTTTTACTGCATAAAAATGAGTACATTTTTGTTCCTGTCGCAATAAGTTGTTGTGTTACGGATCTCGCACCATTGCCCGCAACCTTTCTCTGTCTGTCAACCAACGTATTTGTCGCGCTAAAAATGTTCAGGTTTGATGTTGGAGAACTCTTTCGGTCAGGTTGAGACCTTTTTTCCCGTCAAATAAGTGATTTGTAATTTCACTTGCCTGCAAACGGAAAAGAAGCAAAAATGCATCAGCGCACGATCCGGGAAATGTATAGCAAAGCTTTCCATTTGAAATTCAGGAATCCAGATTTGAAAATGTTTACCGTGTGTGGATCTGCATTAATATAGAATAGAATATACCACTCTTTCTTTGGACCGTCTCGTTTCTTCTAAGTAGCCTGGTTGAGTTAATGCAAAAAGGCGAAGTAATCCTGCCGATCAATTGTCTGTTTCATGGAGAGCAATTACCAACCAATCAGCGTGTTACAGTCTCATCAAACACAAAGTGTAACGTTTCTTGAATGAAAATCTAGTTAAATTTTAGGCTTTGGCTTTTGCCCTAGTGCCACCCATTCCGATATCTAGTTCATAGACGCCACCTCTCATTTCCAGTAACTATTCTGTGCGACAAAATCAGCCATTATGGGCGTGTGACGCTAGTGCTGAGCCATATTTACTTACTAGAAAGTTCCACATCCGTGCATAAGCCTAAGGGACTTAAGGTGATTTGACAGTTTTCGGTTAATTCCCGATATGGATGATACGAGGATCCTCATCAGAGTTAGATAATTGGACAGAGCTAAAAACGTTCCGCATACAGTTTTCAGATCTGCTAAACTACTCTTGAGTAATCTTTTTAGCGATAGCCTCGTTGCCGTAAACAAGGCAGTTTTGGCAACATCTTCATCTTTACAAGAAGGTGGTGAAAATACACTTTTCTTTTTAAGCTAGAACAAT